TTTTTATATCTTGTTGCAAATTGAACCTTTTGATTTAAAGTTAGAGGCCCAGTGCACGAAAATTTGTGCACTGGAGGAGGGTCCCCTCAGTCCAGCCTGCCCCCTCTCATAGTTCGGGAGCCCTCAGGGGATGTCCCATGGGAGCTGGCCTAAGCTGCAGTCTGGCCTCCCTCTGTGGGAGGCAACCAGGCTGATCAGGGGAAGGTGCCGCCCCCATCACCCCGCTGCTGCTGCCACTGCTGGCCGCCGCAGCGGCCAAGGTGTTTTCATCAACAAGGAGTCTAGTCCCTTCACCATGAAAAAATGACAAACTTTCTTTAGGCATTTTCAAGATGTCTCTTTCATAGGATATGACATTTCTTTCTTTCTTTCTTTTTTTTATCCTCACCTGAGGATATTTTTCCGTTGACTTTTAGAGCGTGTGGAAGAGAGAGGGAAAGAGAGAAACATCAATGTGAGAGGGACACTTCGATTGGTTGCCTCCTGCTTGAGCCCTGACCTGGGCCCCTGCCAGGGAAGAGCCTGCAACCGAGGTACATGCCTTTGACCAGAATCAAACCCGGACCCTGCAGTCTGCAGGCCAAGGCTCTATCCACTGAGCCAAACTGGCTAGGGCAGGATCTGACATTTCTAAGCCCCTTCAGCAGTGGACCTTCATTTTTTCCTCCAGGAGTGAGGTGGAAAAACCCTAGATTACCTTCTTGAATTCTTATTACCCAAGTTACCAAGAACACTGTGAGTGGCATACAGGGAGCTTAGCCAAGGCGTGGTCAGAAAAGGTGTTTCCTCTGTAACTCACACGCGGAGGCGGGACTGCTGGCGTGCTGCGGCTGGAAGGCCCTCTTCTCTCTGGGCCTGCGCCATCCATGGCTTGCCTCACTGCGCACGCAGTCCCCTCCCACACCTGCGTGCGCAGCTTCCTCCTGAGCAATTGTGATGCTACGGTGTTCCGGAAAATTTGCATATTATCTCTTTATATATAGATTTATTTCATCTGATATTAGTGTAGCCACACCAGCTCTCTTGGCTACTATTTACATGGATTTACATAAAGTTTAAATATATATATATATATATATAAATATATAAATATATAAAAAATATATTTTATTTTTATATATCTTATTGATTTATATTTTATTTTATTGAAATATATATATCTTATTGATTTCGGAGAGGAAGGGAGAGGGAGAGATAGATAGAAACTTTAGTGATGAGAGAGAATCTTAGATCAGGTGCCTCCTGCATGCCCCCTATTGGGGATTGAGCTGGCAACTTGAGCATGTGCCCTGACCGGGACTTGAACTGTGACCTCCTAGTTCATAGGTTGATGCTCAACCACTCAACCGCACCAGCTGGGTGAATTGTTTACATTTTAAAAGCACATATCATAATATTTTGCAAAAATGATTTGTTATGGAAAGAACTCAAGTGTACCTGTTGGCAATTATATGGAATTAAAGTTGCAAAATGATTTATGAATGTTCTTATGTGTCCTTCCCTTCATCCAATAGTTGTTGTTCATTGTTTTGGTTCTTCATGTTGCTTCCAATTATCCAATATGCTAGGGCTGATCAGCAGACCCTGAGCGATGGATATATAGATTACTCTGACACAACGTTTGCTGTGTAAGAGAGGGCTAAGGGACTGCCTGGCTAAAGGAACCAGACAGCCTTGATTGCCTGCCTTGCTAGGCTTTTGTTGTAGCAGCAGTTTGAGATCAAGTTTATCTTTTAGATACAATCAGTAGGGTAAGTAATATTGGGAAGGCACATATGTTTGTTGTGTCTTTTAAGCAAGGACACCCAAAGATTAAACATAAGGATTCCAGTAAACACCTGGGGGTCTGCTCATGCACAGACTTGTTTGGAACTGTCAAGGAATAATTAGGGGCACCACCTTTGGCACTCCCCTAAGTCAGAATTCTGATAAACAGGGTGGACAGCCTTCCACCCACCCTGTTTGTAAGAAGGACATTCCTTTTCTTAGAATGTCCTCCTTACAAACTTTCCAACCAAGTCTCATGCTTCCCCAACTAATAGTCCTTTAGGATTAGTACCTAATCCTAACAAACAAAAATATTTAAGGAATCTCTGTGGATTATGATGAGGAAAAGAGAAATGTTATCAAGAAGACATGAGCTATTAGTAAGTATTATTGTAACTTTGTGCTTCACACCATGGGATTCACAGTAAGAATAGGATATAGAAAAGCAAATAAAAATTCAGAAATTATTATTCAGTAAGTATTTAGCATATATGAGTTATCTGAAATGTAAAATCATGTGTCCCATACAAGTAAAGGTTTGCTTTCCTAGAAAGAAAATAGATTAGACGATGCTATTACATGATGGAGTGGTTAAGACTCTAGATGCTAGAGGAAGACTGACCATATTTTATTATTTTATTTTTTAGAAAAGCAAGCAAGAATTTATTGACCACAGCAAAAACATACTTAGGGCAGTGAAACAAGGAAGGGCATAGAAAAAGCAACAGGAGAGCCTAGGTTGGGCTGCTTTGGCTCACTGGGAAGTCAGAGAAAAGGGGGAAAAAGAGGGCCTTGGAGACAGGTTCAGGGGGTTAGCCTGGGATGAGCTACCGCTGTCCATTACTCCACTGGTTGCAAGTTTCATGGGGTCCCTTGGAGATTAGGGAATACTGGTAAGGGGGAGAGGAGGAATGGAATAACATAGGTGTGCTCCCTGGAGGGAGAGTGTGCAAAGACTGGCCATATTTTAAAACTTGGCTTTACTGCTCTAATAATATAACTCTAAACTTAATCTCTCTAAACCTTGAAACTTTGGCCATAGAACAGGAACCATGATAGTATCTACCTCATTCAGTTGTAAGACAATATTTAGAACAGTAGTAAATTTTTATAAAATTGTAGTTGTCTTGTAGCTGAAAGCTATCGAAAAAATAAAGGATCTATTCATTAATATGCTTGAATGAAATGTTGGCCTTTAAAAACATAGTGACGTCATCAGAAAAAAGTTGAATACGATGTGTGAACATTCATGCTTTTACATTTATTTAGTAGTATAAAGAAGAATGTGTGGTTCTATAATCCATTTCTGAAAGAATACCATTGAATTTCATATTACAAAGTTTTTTCCTGAAAAGAGAGAATATGATGAAGAGTAATCATAATTGTAAAATTTCACTTATTAAATATTTAGCTTTTTTCAAATACTATTTTTCTCATCAGGTTTTGATTACAATAATAAGGGAACACTTACTCAAAAGCCATTCTTGCCACATATACTAGTATACCTTCATGCTGAGATACTGAATCTTTACCACATTTCTTTTTCTCTCTTAAACGGAGTTCATACCAAGTAGAAAATTAAATGGCTTACTGCTGATTTTATTTATTTGCCTATTCTATGCACTGTTCCAGAAAGGACATAAGACATTCATTATTGAGTTAGTCCAATTTTAGTACCAGTCACTTCAGTGACGGAAGAAAGCTGAATCCTGTTATACTGATAAGAAATTTGATTTTTAAAAACAATTCCACTTCATGCATTTTTGTAAGAGGCAATACTATTTGAAAACAGGTTTTAACTTATGTTTGTGCAAATTTTTTTTAAAATATATTTTATTGATTTTTTACAGAGAGGAAGGGAGAGAGATAGAGAGTTAGAAACATCGATGAGAGAGAAACATCGATCAGCTGCCTCCTGCACATCCCCCACTGGGGATGTGCCCGCAACCCAGGTACATGCCCTTGACCGGAATCGAACCTGGGACCTTTCAGTCCACAGGCCGACGCTCTATCCACTGAGCCAAACCGGTTTTGGCTGTTTGTGCAAATTTTAAGAGGAACTGAATTCTGAGCACCTCAAAACTGTTTGGTCCAGCACAGTAACACTTATTGAATATTGAATAGATGCCTGATACTGTCCTGGGAGTGGTCTTCATAAACAGATTAGGCACCTCCAAGGATCTATTTCCATTACATAATGTAAATTTTATTCACAGAATATCTAAGTTTACTACAGGTAATGTGCTTCTTGAACTTTCCCCCCACAATACTTTGTATCGCATCCTATACCTCTCCTCTGTAGCAGGCTTCACATTTATAAATAATTTTATATAATTATTACACTTTTGTTATACAATTTCCAAGAGGCAATCCATCGTATTCATTACTATGTGCCCAAATCTTAATAATAGCTGACCCTTAGCAAGCATTTAATCAATTTTTGTTGCATGAAGAACTTTCTGAAATCATCACTAATGGCCGCTAGTCAATGCATACCTCCTAAGATATGAGGGCATAGTCCAAAACTGTCTCTGACAATTGGAAAATATTTTTGAAGGTATCTGTTTTATTTCCTTTCAAAACTCATTTGACTTTTTAATTCTCATCCATTATGTATGATTTTTAATATGAGCTGTTTTCAGGAAAAATTGATACATTAGGCATATGCATCATAGTTTTAAGATACAGCTGTTGTGTGTGAGTGTGTATAGTGTATGGGCTTTGGGATTAGGGACTTGTTCAAATTCTTGCCTTGATTTTTAGCAAATAGTTAAGTCAGCATTTGAAAAATAGGTTTAAGAATGCTTACCTTGAAGGTTTTTGTTGTTGCTGTTTTTAAGAGAATAAAATGAAATTGTACTTAAAATAGTTGGCCTGCATAATATATACTCAAGTACTGGCTTCCTTCCCCCTCTTACTAGAAAACTTCTAGTTTCCCTTTTAAGAATCTCAACTTACATATGATTCTTTCCATTAAGATATATTAGATGGTCAATAACTGTCAACTAAGAATGGAAAGATCTCATTCTTTGAGCCAGCATTGTGTCTGTTCATCTGCAGAACAAAATTCTTTTATTGAACATAGTTAACACCTCATAGATGAAAAGTTTCTAGTCAATATTTTTAACCAGTGCCAACAAACTCCACAGAGAAACATTAAATTGAATTAATTTTTATTACTACTTATTTGACACAAGTTTACTTGTCTTAGACAAGAGAGAATTTATAAAATCTGTGCTTTATTGCATGGATAGAAAGTAGAAATGCAGTTTCTTGGAAATTAGCGATGGTGCTCTCCGGAATACTTGAAGATTCTCAGTGACTGTTGCAAGGAATCACAAAGGAAATCTTTGGTCCAAAGAAGACATCTCTGGAAAAAAAAAAAAAGTTAAATCTAGCTATAAGCTAAGGTATATATTAGTTTTCTGGGTTAAAAATGAACAGTGATTTGTGGGATTTCAGATATGATTATTTGTTTTAGGTGAATAAAGTAGAAAAAGAATGAGTGGGAGGACTTGCCACAGGAACAACAAAGACCAAGAAGGTAATTAATTCTTTTACTTTCCCTCCATTTTCCATTGATAATATGCTATCATTTCTTTACCAAAAAAAAAAGAGGAAAGATTAGGTGATTTCAAAACCTTATAATCATGCCAAAAACATTCATTCCTCTGCTATGAGTGGAATGGACCATGAACTTTAAATCTACAGGAAAAACACATTCAAATTTTCCAAGAAAGTCAATAAATAAATTTCTAGCTATTATAGGGAAAGGAGAAGTGTTAAGCTACTCTACTCTTGTTGGGAAGATCATATAAGCTAATGTATAAAAATGCATGGAATAATACAAAATTGTATATAAGTGTAAGGTAGTATGATTACGGTTTATTAGAAATATACTTAGTATATAATGTACAATATGATAACTATTGTTAGCACTGCTATAGAGTATATTTGAAATTTGCTAAGAGAGTAAATCTGAAAGTTTTCATTACAAGGAAAAATAAATTTGGGGGGTAACTATATGAGGTAATAGATGTTAACTATAACTAAATTATTATGGTAGTCATTTTTTAATATGTATTGGTTGACTCATTTGCCATATACTTTAAACTTAAAAAGTGCTGTATGTCAATTATATCTCAAGAAAAAGTGAAAAAAATAGGATGACAAATTAAACTATGATTACAGTGTGGGAAAAGGGAACTATACTTAGCAAGGTAAGTTTGTTGCCACTAGGAAAAGGATAATCCAATATCAGATAGAAATTACTTTTGTATATCTATACTTCTATTCTTGTCCATTAACACAAAATTATATCATGAAATAAATACAAACACATTTCTGTAAATTGGATTCAAGTCTTACAATTACAAAAAAAGCAAAGATGGTATTTTAATATTACTGGTAGATGATATTTCATTTACATGGTCTGGGAAAAATTAAATTATTTTGTGGAATCAGTTAACTCAAGTCCTTGATATCATCATTGAATACAGTGATTCTGAAACTTCATCATACATCAGAATCACCTAGGAAGCGTGTTAAGCCATAATTGCTATGCCTCACCTCCAGTGTTCCATGATATAGTAGGTCTGATCTGGGGCCCAAGAATGTTTGTGCACTTTTTTTTTAACGAATGTTCCTTTCTTTTCTTTTTTTTAGTGCATTTTTATTGATTTCAGATAGGAAGGGAGAGGGAGAAAGGGATAGAAACATCAATGATGAGAGAAAATCATTGATTGGCTGCCTCCTGCATACTCCCTACTGGGGATTTAGCCAGCAAAATCCCTGGGCTCATGCCCTGACTGGGAATCAAACCGTGACCTCCTGGTTCAGAAGTTGATGCGCAACCACTGGCCCACACCAGCCAGGCTGGAGATGCACTTTGAACAAGAACACTGGTGATATTGAAGCTGCTCTTCTGAGAACCACACATTAAGAACCACTGGCTTGGTAGAAAAAAATGAAAAATATCTGGTCCAAATCAGAAGACCTGAGTTCTAGTGCCAGCGCTGATATGAACTAGTCACATAGGATGGTGCTGGTCATTTTATCTCGCTGTACCTTTTCCTTGATCAGATGGTTACATCTGCCTCTTCTGCCTTACAGGTTTCTTGGAAAAATGCAAATATGATGACATGCTAAAAGTAATTTGAAAAAGCCAATTTAGGTATGAAATAGCCAATATCGTAGTGTTTGAAAGATTTCTCAGTAACCAAGGGTTTAAAATCAAGAGTTGGAAATATTTATTGACTTATCTACTATTATATTATACTTAAAATACATCTGCTTTCCAAGTCAGCGGGAAACTTTATTTAGTTTATTTCTGGTTAACTCATACACAGAGCTGGAAATTTTTTCTTTGACCGTTACCAAACTTTTCGATCCAGTTAATTACTTCATCCTGTTTGCTGACATCTTTTTTTTTTTTTTCTGGAAATACACAACTTTTTTAATGGAAGCAAAATGGGGCAAGGGCGTCACAGCCAACAGGGATTGAGCTCAGGCGAGGCAGGGCCGGTGCTGTGCCCGGGTCATGGAAGCCACAGCAGCCTGGCAGCACGGAGGGGGGTGGGGGCCTGGTCGTGGGGGGCCTGCGAGAAGCCCAGGCTGCCAGCTTCATCCCTGGGGAGGAGCGGAGGCTCTGGCCCAGGTGGTTCTGCGAAAACCTCATGGGTGGGCACCTGGCGGCTCCCAGAGACTCCTCAGCTTAATTACTTAATCACACCTCTGGAGTAATCAATCAACCCAGGAGTATTTAACCGTAGCACGCTACAGTGAGCCTGCGAGCTGAGCAGCTGAGCGAGCGAGCTTGGCGGGGTGGGAGCTGAAGAGGTTTAAAATATCAACCTTGAAGCTGACCACTGCTGCTGGTAGATTTTTTTGTGATAAAAATCTGATAGGGGATTTAGATTTTAATAGATTGGAGTGTTATTAATTTTCTGGATTTCATTTAGTTCTATTAAAATCTGCCAAGTCCTGTTTCTTAAATGAAAACATTTAGTTCTATACAGAATGGTGATGATTCTAGCAAATAGCTGAGATTTGAACAGGATTTGACTAAAAAGGGTTATTATTTTCATCAAATTCATTATAAAGGTTTCAAAAAGGAATCGTTATCCATACGTTTCATAGAATATATTTTGTGATTACATTTCCTTACTTTGGGCAGCAGAGCAATTCGCTGAAGTTGCAGTAACAGATCATCTCACATCCCTTTCCATCCCAGAAATGATCCTGGACGTTAACATCAACCTTTGTCAGGTCAGCTACTCCTTCTGGAAGACTGTGACAGTTGCGATCTTTTAGTATCTTTCTGTAGCAAGAGAGGCGATTTGCAGGCATGGTTTGGACTCCTAGCAGCAAAGTTAGCCCAATGGTGACAAGTACTGTAAATTTCATTTTGGCTTTTGGCCCTGAGATAGAATAAAAACCAGAATTTGTTAGTGTTAGTTTGTTTTTAAAGATGGAATTTGTCTGAACATAAACTTCTTAGCATTCTCATACACTCCTGGGTAGAAAGAGTTGATCTTTCTACTCTCTGTGGCTCTCAAAGTGTAGTTTAAAACCATCTACAATAAAAATCACTTAGAATATTTGTTAAGAATTAAATGCCTCAGTTCCACAAAGAAATACTGATTAAGAAATGCTGGATGAGGGGAAGAGGTGGTGGTAAGACCCAAAATTAGCATTTTAAGTACTCCAAGTAATTTTTTTATATTCAGTAGAGAAAAATTGCTTTTAAAATATTTCTATTAATTTCAGAGAGGAAAGGAGAGGGAAAGAGAGAGATATAAACATCAATGATCAGAAAGAATCATTGATTGGCTGCCTCCTGCACGCCCCTGACTGGGGATCGAGTCTGCAACCCGGACATGTGTCCTGACCAGGAATGGAGCTGTGACCTCCAGTTCATAGGTTGACTCAACCATTGAGCCACATTGACCAGGCAGAAAAATTGCTTCTTAATGTGACAAAACTGACAAATTTTTAGGATGGAAAGCTTTACTAGGGCAGTCGATTTTTTATCACTACATACCCAATGGCTAATACAATGCTTGGTCCATTTTTCTAGTGCTTCTCTGAAAACACACTTTTTTGTTGTTGCTAATCCTCACCTGAGGATATTTTCCCATTGATTTTTAGAGAGAGTGGAAGGAAGGTGGAGAGACACAGAGAAACATCAATGTGAGAGAAACACATCAATTGGTTGCCTCCAGCACGCACCCCAACCCTACCAGGGATTGAGCCTGCAACCAAGGTATATGCCCTTGACCAGAATCAAACCCGGGATCCTTCCGTCCATGGTCTAATGCTCTATCCACTGAGCCAAACTGGCTAGGGCTGAAAACGTATTTTTAATCTTGAGCAAGAGCCTATAGAAGTTTCATGTTATCTAAAAGACTGTGAACTTCTTAGGACTCATCCTCTGGTCTTCCTTCCACTTCTCCTCCACACAAACCATTCATTATTGCAGTTAGTAGGCAGTGGGACCTGACACCTCTTCAATCCTACATATGTGTCTTTGCCTTGTTGCCCCCTCTAACTTCTTCCCTTTACATTAATTTCTGATCAAACCATCCATTAAGGACAAACCTCAAACTCATCTTTCCTAAGAAACCTTTCTGATACAGCCCATATCCTTCTAACAGCTCCTATGCTCTCTATTTCCATAGCTCTATATGTATATAATCTGTACTACAAGAACTGTGAATTTGACTAAATAATGCCTTGTCATTGTCAGCATTTTTCATAAGCCAGTGAACCATATAGAGTATGGGAGTGGGAAATTCACAGAAAGCCATTTGACCACTTACTGAATTGGTCATTTTATGGATTTACCTAGAACCAGGAAGGAAGATTTGGAAAGATCATAAAGGGCCTTATAGGACATGATAAGATCTTTAGATTTTATTGATTATACAGGACTGCGGGGATCAGGCCGAAACTGGCTCTTCGACAACCCCCAAGGGATCCCGAATTGTGAGAGGGTGCAGGCCAGGCCGAGGGACCCCACCGGCGCACGATGGGGGCCGGGGAGGGATCATGGAGGGCTCCAGGGCATATCCGACCCATCTCGCCCAGTCCTGATCAGCTGGACCCCAGCAGCAAGCTAACCTACCAGTCAAAGCGTCTGCTCCCTGGTGGTGAGTGTGCATCATAGTGACTGGTCAAATGGTCAAATGGCCAGACACTTAGCATATTAGGCTTATATATGTATAGATTGAGAAACTATTGGAAGATTTTTATTGAATAGTAATATGATCTTATTTATGCCTTTGTTTTTAAAGTTTCTTTAAGCTCTTTGAAGGTGTGTTATGGTGGGACAAAATTGGAAGTAGAAGAAAAGAGGCAAAAGTAGATGGAAGATATGACACAAGAGGGAAAGAATCAAGACTAACGTTTACATTTTTTACCCGAATGGTACTGATATTTATTGAGCTGAGAAAGAATTGAATGGAGTCAGTTTGGGGGGAATGCAAGAGTAAATTTTTGGGCAAGTTAAGTTTGAGATGTCTACTACACATCCAAGTAAAGATGTTGAGTAGGCAGCTGAATATGAGTCTGAAGGTCAGGGCTGGAAATACAAATTTGAGAGTCATCAGGATATTTATTGATAGTATTTATAGCTATGGGACTGGCAGGGTAATGAGTATAGATTCAGAAGAGAAGAGGCAAATAACTGACTAAGGGTGAGCCAACACTCAGAGGACTGGAAGAGAAGATGCCAGCATCATAAAGGCAAGGACTGTAACTTTTTTTTTTTTTTGGTCTCTTCTCTCAGAGCGCCTCCTTCAACACTGGGCTCACAGTAAGTATTCAAAAAACATTCACTGGAGTGAAAAATAAATTGCAGGAAAAGTAAGTCTGTATGCTGCCATACCACACACCTCTTCTGACTGTGTTCATGCCAGAGCATAAAATAGTGTTTCTGTCACAGTCTCAGTCACATACTAAGATGGAAAGTTCCACATCTGGCAAACACTTATTGGTAGTTTTTTTTTTTAACACTTTAGAAATTACATGTTTGAACTGACATCTTCTCATCTTCTTTTACTTAAGTGCCAATAAATAGCTTTAACTCTTATTTAGTCAGTGGAACAATGTCTGAATGTTCCTGTGATACATTGGTTGGTTTTTTCATTAGAAGACACCAACCTTAGTCCTTGGCAATCCATCAAGACCATATATTTTCAAGTTCCAACAAGATGAAATGACTTTGGCAAGTTTGAAGCAAACTGCTCTATTTCTTTTTCTCTTTCAGTTGAAGTACATGCACATAAAATTCCTACTGGAGTACATCCAAATTATAAAAGAAAACAAAGCTAAAAGCTGAATATCTGAAGGAATAAACAAGAGACCCTCAATTAGTTTCTATTGGATTTTGGACTCAATTTTATGTAATTAATATTGTTCCTTATGTATGATACCATTCATATCCCAATATTTAATAGATTGGCATGATATTAATGGGAATATATATGTCTTATATATTGCCATTGTTCCACTTGAGATATATATAGTTAATCCTCACCTGAGGATATTTTTCCATTAGTTTTTTGTTGTTTTTGTGTGTGTTTTTTGAGACAGTGGAAGGGGACGAGGGAGGGAGGGAGGGAGAGAGAGAGAGAGAGAGAGAGAGAGAGAAAGAATTAGTTGCCGCCTGCATGGGACCAGAGATTGAACCTGCAATCCAGCTACGTGCTCTTGATCAGGAATCCAACCCACAACCCTTCAGTACACTGGCTGACACTCTAAACACTGAGAAACACTGGCCAGGGCTAATGGCATAATATTTAAAAGATATCAATGCAGAGCATACAGAAGTAAAGGCAAAATGTTTTCAACTAAGCAATAAATCACTGCCACCACCATATAGGTAGGGAATGGCAAATCTTGATCGTGTAAAGGATATTTGGCACTGGCAAGCTTTTTGAATGGTTGGAGTTAAATGGAGACTTAGAAAGAGAAATTATCCCATGTAATGGCCAAAACTAACAGGGCTATGTAGTTTAAGTGTTGAGACATTTATGGAGCAATGCTCATATAGGCAGCTGATGCCAGTTCTGGGAACTGCTATTTTAAAAAGTGGAATGCGACAGAGTTGATGAATTAGACAGAAAGGGCAGTCCATTTTCAGATTTCTTTCAAAACACAGCAAAAGAGAAGCAAAAGCTGCTAAAGCAAATGAAAAGTACAGCCCAGAACCTGACATTTAAAATTATAGCTGGAAGAGATGAAAATTGCTGTCCAGTCTGTCATGTTTTCCATCATCTTTCTTGGAGGATGAAAATCACTGTTATTTGAAACATTCGTTCTCTTTCTTATTAACTGTGATACAAGAGGTTTGTGTTAGAATGACTGAGTCCTCGAGTGAAACTTCTCCAAGGGTATGTTGAAGGAATCAAAGTGGTATTAGGAAGTGGAGAAGCCTTTTCAACATCATTAAAACAGACATGATCAGCCCGAATACCCAAAAGACATTCATCAGTGGACAAACGAAGTCCATATCCTCCCTGAAGGTGACCTGCCTTCAGGATGCTGAGAGAATGCTGGAAGACGATATTACTATTCAGTCTTGCATCATTCTAATGCTCTCCTGGCCACAGCAGATCATCAGCATGGAGAAAAGGACCAGCATTTGGGAGAGCTTTTCAAAGACTGTATACCTAAGTTAAGGAATGTTAAAGGGAAATTTTTACAAGCCTCCAAAGGGAAGAAGGGTTCCCTTTATCTGAGCAATACAGACACCTTGTGTTTCATGATGGAGACACCAAGGATGAATGCAATGAATTCCCTCTTTATTCACAGATGTGTACCAGTTTCTTTTCAGGAATCAGGATTTTTAAAAAGCAAGAGACCTTTGTTTCCTTAGACCTTGCAGTTCATATTGGGTAGGTAAAATATACAGATATAGTTACTGCACTTAAAAAAGTATACCCTTCATCATCCTCACATGGTTCTGAGACGTGGAATAAGGTCCTGTTGTGTGGACCAAATTCAGAGTGGACATGTATATTCATAAGAAATAACATAGAGGAAGCTGCCTCTTTCAATCCTCATGATAAGTGACTTTCCCAGTATCTATTCTCTTAACCTGATTTGTTTTCCCTTTATACTAAGAAGCATTTATTTTTCAAAGTACATACATCATCTCTTTCGAGGGTCTCTTTCTGCCTGTCTGCCTTTCTCTTCGCATAAATACATCTCTGCTCTAATCTATAGCAGTAGTGTGAAGTAGAATAAATGACATAAAATGGTTTTTAGGCAAAAAAAAAGTTACGTACCCTTTTCTTCTTTCCTTTTGGTCTTCTTGTCAGAGGACTCTTTTAAAATGCTCCAACTCGCTGGGTGAGTTTGGGCAGAAGGAGAGGAGAGGAGGTGCTGGAAGGAGGTGCTTCACAAATGAACCTTTGTCTGCCTTGTCTCCCGCCCCGGGATTGACAGACTCGCGGCTCCAGCCAAGACTCTCGGGGAGGGGAGTGGAGGACTGGGCTGCAAGAACGGCCTCCCTTGGGTTCTTACACACCAGGCGAAGATGAACTAAACAGCTCCTTTACAGAGGGAAATAACGAGTCTATACAAGAACCTCAGGGAGGCAGACTTGGAGCAATAAAATATTAAACCCGAGGGACTTATAAAGAACACAGAGAGGGATTTTTTTTTTTTACCTGAAGAAAAGTGTGTGTACACAGGCACATACGTGTGTGTGAGATGCAGACAGAGAGACACTGAGACAGGGAGACAGGGACAGAGAGCTAGGGAGAGAGGGGAGGAAGGGGAGAAGGAGATGGAGAAATGGCTAATATGATTTAGGAAAACAGCTGAGCGCCTCTTCCTCTCTCCTGGTTTCTTTGTGTTTTGTCACCAAGTTTTCTTCACCATCTAGATCCCTTGTTCTAACATTTTGGTTGAAAGTATATTCCAAATCTCATTACCAGCCAACGGGAAGCAAAAAGTACACTGACTAACAGAGAAATCTATTCTGTGGCTCAGAAATAAAGGCACAAAAGGAATTTCACTCTGTGTTGAGCAAAGAGTACTGGAATGGTAGCATCTGTTAACTATCCTTCAGTTGCTGGGTTTTTTAAAAATTCAATTTGGAATAGTGTTGCTGGAGTTGGAAATATTATAATAGAACAGGGATTATCTGGACAGAAAATGGAGAAAAGGTCATTCTAGGTTGTGTTAACAAAAGCATGAAGGTGAAGGATTGGGTAACAAGTCTGGGGATCACAGGTAGTTTTGTGTCTTGGAACTAGCGATGGGGGGAGATAAGATTAGAGGGATAGAGAGAGGCAAGTTGATGAAGTACCTCATACACTGTGCTAAAAGTTTTGGATTTTATCCTAAAGGTAAATGGAAAGATGATGAAACATATTTAAAAGGTCGAACCCCTGACTGCAGAATGAAAGAATTATGGTGTGGGAGGAAACAGACTAGAAACGGGAGAAGAGGAGCTCCCGCGGTAACACAGGAGAGAAGATAGGAAGCACCACTGAAAAGATCTGGTGACCAATTAGGTTTTCATGTTTAGGGCAAAGGTAGCTGAGAGAAGGATAGGAGACTTTATTAAATTTCAAAAGTTTGGACCCTTGGATGAACAATGCTGTTCTTCATCTTTGAGGAAAAAAATGCAAAAAGAGCAGTTTGGGATGGAGCAGGTGTGGGAGAGAGCAACGAGTTAGTGAATGAATGTTGGATTTATAGAGCCCTTGATGGAACTGGGAATGCTTAGTAGGCAGTTTGTTAAATGTGCATGGAGCACAGAAGGAAAGTATGGGCTAGAATGTTAGAATTAACTGGCCAACTAAATGTCAACTAAATAACTAATCGAGTTATGCAATTAACACCCTTAGGTCTGAGGGCCGACACGCTAACCACTGGGCTACCAACCAGGGCTGGGTTCATTTTTATATTCAGCAATATTCAAATCCATACAATGATATACCTGGCATTGTGTTTCTTGCATGCCTGCTTCATGTGGTACCCTAGACCTCTTTAGTAACTACCTACTGCCTTTGGATCAAGTTCCTAGTCACTTAGAAAAAAATTGCCCCTAAAAAGCACATTTGGATCTTGGTTTCCTAGTCCCTGTTGCCTGTCAAACATTTACTTATTGCTAATTGGGCTTCCCATCATTTCAAGGGAGAATTGTTGAACATTATTAAATTTTTAAAAATATATTTTTATTAATTTCAGAGAGGAAGGGAGAGGGAGACAGAGATAGAAACATCAATGATGAGAGAGAATCATTGATCAGCTGCCTTCTGCACGTCCCCTACTGGGGATTGAGCCTGCAACCCAGGCATGTGTCCTTGACCAGAATTGAACCCGGGACCCTTCAGTCTGCAGGCCGACGCTCTATCCACTGAGCCAAACCAGCTAGGGCAACATTATTAAATTTTCAAATGCCTGCTGCTGCCCGGCTGGTGTGGCTCAGTTGGTTGAGCATAATCCCATGCACCAAGAGGTCATAGGTTCAATTCCTGTCAGGGCACATGCCTGGGTTGCTGGCTCGATCCCCAGTAGATATTTCTCTCCCTTCAGTGTTTTATCTCTCTCTCCCTCTCCCTTCTTTCTCTCTAATCAACCAAAGGACTTGTATGCATGCATATAAGCCTAACCAATGGACACAGACACCAGGGGGGTAAGGACATGAGTGGGTGGGTGGGGGGGCAATAAGGAATAAGGTCACATATGTAATACCTTAATCAATAAAGAAAATATTTTTTCTAATGGTTAACAAAATAAAAATCAATGAAAACATATTTAAAAAAATGTTTTAAGTGCCTGCTGCTATTCATCCTGATGTCTATTACATGCAGCTGCCCATTTGAGAAGCAATTGATTGCAAACCAAGACCTGCGATTGCAGAGGCTGCCCTTGTGACTTTCAACTTAGGGCTCCAATTTGCAACCACTGTTTGTTTTCTTGTATGTAGAAACTTCAGCATTTTTCTTTTGTTTTCTCTCCTGATTGCCTATTACTCAGACCTTTTGTTGAACCCTGATTTATGTTGCTCTGGAGACCATCTGTCTCTCTGAGATAGCCTCCCAAAGTAAACCTTTTCTATGAGATAGGTAAGGCCACCCAGACATACTGTCCAGATTTCTAGAAAACACGTCCTGCTATATTTTTATACGACAGTCTCTCTATGTGTGCATGTTTTATTTATATAAGTATATTTTATCATATCAAGTCTAATCAGGTTTGTTACAAATGGGAAATCCCCACAAATTGGTGACAGAGCTTAAGCAATTTGATCTAGAACTTAAGCAATTGTGTTAAGTACTGGTATTAAAAAAATAGAAGTGCTGGTATTACATTCGAAAAGCGAGCTGATTAGCATTTCCTAAAAAGCAAACAAACAATAACAACATTAAAATCCTCCTAATCAGATGAAGTCTCAAAAGATATTTTGCATCTAAATAATAGTAGACATCCCACACCTTAAGCTTGTGGAAAAAAAAAATGGGAACACATAAATTCTTCCCCTGATTTCCACCTGGGAGCTCATGCCTATGACCTGATTTAGAATCTGCGGCTCCTGTGTTCCGTAATTGACCCCTTTCTCTCATTTCCCTCAGGCTTCAATCCTGCAGGAGTTCCGGAGAGTGGCAGTGCCCAGAGAAGCAGCAGCAGGTTTCAACCTTCAGGGTTCTTCCCGGGAGAGAGGTAGGACCCGTTTTATGGGAGTATCCTTGACAAAAGGAGTTTCTAATAATAAGGCTAATGGAAACTTAATTCACAGCATGTTTGTTGGAATAATAATGAGCTACCCACGAAATGACCTTTTAAAATTCCTTTAAAGTAAGTTAAAAAGAAACAATTAACCTGTTTTATTCACTTAATTATTTTTGAACTCAGTAAAAGAGTATTCTTTTTTATTAAAACTATTTAAAGTTTTCCTTAAGATTTTCTCTGAACTTGGAACATTTGTGCTGAGAATGCGTTTTGCAACTGGGTGGAACAAGATAATCTCTGCTACCCAAACTTAGCTTTCTGCCACCGAAGTGAAACTTAAGGAAAACGACTCCATTGAGGAGTCTCAAGTGAGGCCCTTGGGGAAAGAGCCGAATCCCCCAGGAGCTGTTGTGTCAGATGTTGAGCTGATGTCATGACAACTACTGGATGAGAACTACCTTCCAGAGGCATTCATAGTGGAACGCAGTTTTGAAGGTCCGATGTACTTGGGAACTGCTGGGTTTCAGAGCTGCAGCCGTGGCTATAATGATGATTAGAGGGGGAGTCTCCTTGCTCAGAAACTGTTAGTCAGAACAGTAAACACAAGACCTCTTTTACCTGAGCATAGAGAGTGTGATGTCCACTGGGAGTGCTGGGCTTTTCACAGCATTTCTACATAGAGGTTGTGAGCACCCTGAAGAATATGATCTTTAAATACAATAGAAATAAAGCCAGTAAAATGAAGCTCAGGAGTGGAATGCATTAAGAAGGAAAGAAACTTGAATATAACCCCATTAGTTTCCTGGAAATTTAAAAGGGACATTGGACTAACAGTAAATGGAATCACAGCCCAGATCCCAACAATAATTTTGTGGTTTGTTGGAAAGGACCAACTTATCAAACCCAGAAAGATCAAAAGAGCTATTACGTGTGCCAGCGTGTGATCCTTTGCAGATCCCGAGTTCTGGTCCTAAGCTTCCCAAAGTTTTTTCACAGGTACAAGCATCTGGTGGGTTGGTAATGATAACAGTAACAGTATTGATACAACTAATAATAATGTCATTGCCAAGTGTGCTAAACACTTTAGAAGTGTTGGCTTATTTAATGCAAACAACATTGTTTTATGAGGTAATTTTTCAAAGTCTTCCTTGGACACAGAAACTTGAATCAGCTAAAGGGAGTTTTCTACAAAGTCAGATGTGGAAAATTGCCAAAATGTCAGTCATTTGAGTAGAATTTCTAAGTGATTGTTATTCTAGAAGTAAAATCGTAGTGCCAGACATTCAGTAAATACTTATTAAATGAATGAATGAGTCAACAAATAAGTGAGCAATGGATGAAATACTTGCATAGAGATTAGGTTTGGGGGAATTATTCGCCTTTCAGTAGTTACTTATTGAGGGTCTACTGTGTACTATGATTGATGTGTCGTGTCACTAAGGATGTAGTTTAGCAAGTAGACACCACTGTTTTCTCTAGGCCATCTCTGAAGTGCAGGCTAATAAATCCTTCTATAAATCCTCAGTCTTCTCTCTTGTTAGTAAAGGGCTTAATTGATGATTTTTATAGTCCCTTCCATTTTCCACTTTCTAAGAGTGTATGATTCTCAATATCATTTTTAAATAGAGTTTAAAATTTTAGAATAGTTTTAGAATTTTGGGGAAAAATTGCTAACAGTACAACCAGTTGATTTTTATTAGTATCTTACATTAATGTGGTACATTTGTTATAATTAATGAATCAATATTGATATATTATTAACTAAAGTCCATGATTTATTAATTTTCTTAGTTTTTATTAAGAATTGAGTTGTCACCCTAGCCGGTTTGGCTCAGTGGATAGAGCATCGGCCTGTGGACTGAAGGGTCCCAGGTTCAATTCTGGCCATGGGCATGTACCTTGGTT